CAAATGAATAAACAAGTCAAACTGTTTCCTGTGAGACTGCATCTACTGAAATCTATTTGCAAATATTGGAATATTGGAGATATTTCGCTTGGCCATATCTTCTCTAGTAGCCATCTAACTTAGACTTACCCTAACTATCAAGACTTTTTGTTAAACTGAAAAGTGAAGCTCCCCTTTTCATTAACTTTGCTAAAATTTCAAAAAACCTACCAATTTGCTAAGATGTTTATTAAAGCTAAATGATTATATTTATTTTAACTTGCGACAAACCGAAGACATTTCAAATATGATGCACGCAAATTGGATGAGGGTTAATGATACAAACAATAATTCATGACAATAAAAATTCGATATTGAACTAATAAACGTAAAATAGCTCCACACATTTATTTAATTTTATTTTACTAAAAACTTTTTCGCTTCAAAAATATTTAAATTAGAAATAACAGTAGACATATTACAAACACTCAAAAAACCAGGCCTCCATTTTCAAGACTTGCCAGGTGGAAATGAGGAGGAACAAAAGTGATTCAAAATATAAAACTTAGAGTTTGACTATTCATGTAAAAAATGGACAAATAAAGGTGAGAAACAAAACTAGAAGAACCACAGTAGTAGGGAGAGAAAAAATTGAAAACAGATCAAGAAAAACCACAGTGGGCAAGTGGAGCAAATCAGAGTAAAATGCATTTCCACGTGTTACGCGGAGATGGTGAGGTACTAATGTCGTTGACAAAGGAATCAGCAATCATATGAGTAAAACCACATTCCAAGGTATAAGCTGATGTGACTTGGGCGGAAATAATTTCAACAATGTCGAAATTGAATTTGTGTCCAAGATTCCTACAATATGCAGCAATTGATAATTTTCCGAATTCTTAATAACGGAGATATCTACTGCTATTTTTATTAAATTCGTTGAAATTTCCAAAATTTTCCCCCTGATATTAAAATTCAGTAATGCACATCAATGCTTATAATTAAACTATTAAAAGTTTCGAATTCTTATTTTCAAGAAAATTTTTTTTTTACTCAAGAATGCTTATACAGGGAATGATAATACGTAACAGCCGCAGCAATAGCCTTGTTATCAGTGNTTTTTTTTATTTAAAAATATTTTCTTTTTCGGTACATTTACGTTACATTTTAAAATTAATCTTATCACATTTTTGTTTTAATCGTCAAATATTTTAGCTCTTTTTCAAAATCTTTACTTGGTACAATAAATAAAAAGAGTATAATCGAAGGTTATAACAGAGTATAATAATAGAGAAATAGAAGAGTATAATAGAAGAGAAGATGAGTATAATGGAAGAGAAGATGAGTATAATAGGAGAGAAGATGAGTATAATAGAAGAGTATAAATCTCTTTCTATTATACTCATCTCTTTCGAAAAAATTTTACCTCATTGTTGACAGTGGTTTTTAAAGTTCATTTGGAACCTAAACAGAATAAATAAATTAAATTTAACTTATTTTTTGTTGTTGCGAAAAACAATGCTTTGACCAAATGAATAAACAAGTCAAACTGTTTCCTGTGAGACTGCATCTACTGAAATCTGTTTGCAAATATTGGAATATTGGAGATATTTCGCTTGGCCATATCTTCTCTATGGGCCATCTAACTTAGACTTACCCTAACAATCAAGACGTTTTGTTAAACTGAATAAAGTAAAGCAACTCCCATTTTCATTAATTTTGCTAAAATTTCAAAAATTCTACCAAGTTGCTAAGATGCTTTATTAAAGTTAAATGGTTATATTTATTTTAACTTGTGACAAACCGAAGACTTTTCAAATATTTTTCGCATAATTTGCGCAAATTGGATGATGGTTAATGATATAAACAATAATTCATGACAATAAAAAATTCGATATTGAACTAATAAGCGTAAAATAGCTACACACATTTATTTAATTTGGTGGGTGATTTACACACATTTATTTAATTTTATTTTATTAAAAACTATATTCGCTTCAAAACTATGTAAATTAGAAATAACAGTAGACACGTTACAGGCACTCAAAAACAGGACTCCATTTTCAAGACTTGCCACGTGGAAATGAGGAGAAACAAAAGTGATTTAAAATATAAAACTTAGAGTTTGGCTATTTATGTAAAAAATGGAAAAATAAAGGTGAGAAACAAAACTAGAAGAACCACAGTAGTAGGAAGAGAAAAAAATTTGAAAACAGAACAAGAAAAACCACAGTGGCCAAGTGGAGCAAATCAGGGTAAAATGCATTTCCACGTGTTACGCAGAAATGATGATGTACTAATGTCGTTTACAAAGGAATCAGCAATCATAAGAATGAAACCACATTCCAAGGTATAAGCTGATGTGACTTGGGGGTGAAATAATTTCGACAATGTCGAAATTGAATTTGTGTCCAAGATTCCTACACTATGCAGCAATTGATGATTTTCCGAATTCTTAATAACGAACATATCTACAACTATTTTTATTGAATTTGTTGAAATTTCCAAAAATTTTACTCCTGTTATTAAAATTCAGTAATGCATATCAATGCTTATAATTAAACTAATAAAACTTTCGAATTCTAAGTTTCAAAATAATTTTTTTTAAATCAAGAATGTTTAAACAGAGAATGATAATAAGTAGCAGCCACAGCAATAGCCTATACATTCCATAGAATTATGATGCTTTTTTTCCCCATATACTCTAAAAAAACATGGGTACTTTTCTTACACTTTATTAAACAATAGCTATAAAAATGACTTTAACATATTTTTCTCTCCATATTATTTAAAAAAAAACATGTATACTTTTTTTTATACTTTATAAAACAATAGCTATAAAAATGAACTTAAACAAGTTTTTCAAAATCATGTTATTTAACATGTATACTTTTTATATAACAAGTATACAAGTTTTGTATAACAAGTTTTTCAAAAACATGTTATTTAAAAAAATGCATACTTTTCTTAAACATATTTTTGAAAACCATGTTTTTAAAAAAAACATGCACACGTTTTTTAATATTTTATTAAACAATGGCTATAAAAATGACTTATACAAATTTTAAAAAACCATATTATTTAAAGAAAATCATACTTTTCTTATACTTTATTAAACAATAGCTATAAAAATGACTCAATTTTTTTTTAAAAATCATATTATTTTAAAAAACATGCATACTTCTCTTATACTTTATTAAACGATAGCAATAAAAATACTACACTTTACTAAGTGATAGCTATTAAAATGACTTAAACATATTTTTTTCTTCATTTTCTTAAAATAACTTTTGTATGCTTAAAAAAAAATGTATTGCATTCCAAAGGAAAATTTCTCTAACTCATGTTCATTTTTCAGACTACTCAGTATATGTTTTATTCAGCCATATTAAAGATGACTTCCGTATTTATTAGATGCCAGGTGGCATTATGACAAACATAATTAAGGATTTAAATGCAATTTTCATCCCTGCTCTCATTGTTATATTTCTCATAACAGCTCGCCTGGAAACATTAAGTTCGTGAAAATTTCCACAAATGAATTTCATATTTTTAAACCCGAATGGCTTGTAAAAATTATTTATTTATAAAATAATGAAAGAAAGCAGAACTATTATAATCACATGTTAAAATCACTTATCTTGAAAGTTCTTAACGCAATTATAATTTATACCTAAGAATTAAACAGCGAGATGAAAATTAAAAAAAATATTAATACTTTTCCGACAATATTATTTCTATTTTGTAACTAGGGATCTTATTAATAGTAGAATAAACATAAACTAAAATAAATTATAAAAACATGTAAATAAAGCTGGGAATTCAATGGATCAGATTTTTTTAACAGCCCAGAAAAAGTATCTGTGCAATCTGTAATTTCTTTACAAGAAACGAATTAAAAAATTGTTACGAGAAAGATGATATTTATTTTAAGAAAGGAAATCTAAAATGCAAAGCATTATTAATACATTTCATTAAAACATTTCATTAAAATAAAAATTAAAAAGCAGACTAATTAATGAATATATGTAATAATAATAATGAAAAATATTTATGCTAAGCATTTAATAGAAGTCCAAAAAAGGAAACGGGTTATGGGCTTAAATTCGTTAAATGAGAAACTTCAATAAAAAAAGACAAAATAAGGTATTCTCTATCAAAGAGATATTGACAAATTTTATTTTCAGCAAACAATAATTGGTTAGTACTATATATTTCTGTGTAGCTCGTAGAAATCGCATAACCAAAATAGAAATTTAGATTTTTGAATTTTCTTTTTCAGTTTCTTAAATTCATAACGGTAAAAAATTTACAAACTAAAACTTTAAAATTACTTATCTATTGAAAAGTATTTTGTAATATCATATTGGAATAAAAAAAAATCAAACGTTTAAATCATATTATTAGAAATCAATATAAAAAAGTCGTTCGTTCAATAATAAATACAGTGTATAAAATCGTTTGCTCAAGAAATAAATTTATTACAATTTGTACATTACAATAAAAAATTAAATTATTTTCTGGAATTTAAATTACTTAACATTCATCCAATAATTTATTACTCGTTTTTTTGTATAAAATGTATATTCTTACATTTAAGATTCGATGACATTTTCCCGCGAATACGGGTGAGAAATACAATTTATCGTTTGCTCAAAAAACTGTGTTCTTTTGCTTGAGGTAAAATATTTTTTTAAAAATAAAATATCACATACCAGATCATCTTTAATATTATTAACTACTTTTGATTCAATAGTTTGTGAATTGTGCTAGACATAATACTAAATATTACCTAAGACAAAGTACATTTGACTAAACTTTAGCCTATAAATTAGTCTCATAGCCATTTTTATTTTATTTGGTATACTCTAATAATCTCTGTGTTTGTTCTTTTTTTATCATAATTTAATAAGCCTTTCAGACGTTTCAGTGAAATGTTTGTTGAAGTGCTTAAAAATATAAACGTAAGCAATATCTAAAAAAAGTCGTTTGAATTTTTGAATAGGAAAGAACAAACATACGTAACACACGTTTTCTTAAAAAAAAATCCAATTATGTTATCAGGTAACTGTTTCTGCCATCTGAACAATCAATCAGTTTCCCGCAGCAGGTCAAAAAAGGTCATTATTCAAGCATGCATTACATTAAGAATGGTATATGATCCCCCATTTACCCGCACTTTTTGCTGATAACACTCCATATCAAAGTACGTTTAGTGTAAAATAGCAGCTGTTTTGGCGAGCGTTACAAGACAGTTATCGATATATCTCGATTTGCCAACTGTGGAAGGAAGGAGAATTTCAACTTCCTTAGCGGCCGTTTTTGATTCAAAAAGTAACTAAACATTTATTCATTATTTAAACAAGGAATAAAATAAGAAAATTCTATCCTCGTGGCACAGTATTTAAGGTTCTTGTTATCAGATAGTAATGTGATGTCATTTTCGTGAATGACTTGTACCTCTAGATTTTATTTGATTGTTTCCATGCGATTTGTATTATTGTGAGTTTAGAAGCGAGTCAAAGAGTTTAATATGATGAATAATTCAAATCGATTATAAAGGTAAGTTTTGCAGTTTTTCTCTTTCTTTTTCAAATAGCGCATTCGTGTTTTACATTCTTCAAAATTAATCGAACTTAATAATAGTAAATAATATTGCCGTAATAAAATAAAATTTAATGAGATGATGAATTCGATTTCCTATTCATACGAATGTTGGAATATTAATTTTAATTCCAATTGTTTTCGCTGTCACTTTGATTGATTCGAAATCTGATGAGGGGAAAAAGATAAAATTTTAATGCTTACTTAACGCATTAAAAAAACTTTTCGCCAATTAAATAACTTTAAAACATTAGATTTTTGATTCCTTAAATAACATACAACTCAGTTAAAAAAAAATCACGCAGTTCTAATAGTATTTGTTCAAATAATTCTTAGTGTATTACTAGATTAAAAATGACATTGCTTCGAAGATATATAAGTAGGAAATAGAACTCGACATGTTTCAAGCGCTCAAAAACAGGCGCCCATTTTCAAGACTTGCCAGACTCGAATGAATTCAAATTTCAAATCATTTTTGTTTCTTCTCTTTCAAGTCTGGCAAGTAATGGAAATGAATACCTGTTTTTGAGCACTTGAAACAAGTCGACTGTCATTTCCTATTTATATATTTTTAAGCGAATTAAATTTTTTTTATTTATTAATATCTTACCGCTTCAGTATTTTGAGAATATTTATTAAACTCTTAGAGTAGTTAGCTCTTACTTTTATTTTTAATAACATTTAGAAATTTAAACATCGTTTTAAAAATTTGAAAACCTTTACTGCCGTTATCATTCGTTACTACCAGTGTTTCAAAAAACGCTAGTAAACACAACAACAACCTTAATAATATAACAACAGTGAGCAATAACAACTTTAATGTGTTCATAAACAATAGTAAATCATCATCAAAGTTATGAAATTTTCTTATTAAATGTCTCAGTGCCATTTAGGGCTATAGTAACGTAATTTTTTTAATCGATGCATATTTCTAGAAATTTTACTTTGAGTAATTCGAACTACTTTTGCCTTTGATTTCGAATTACTGAAAGTCCACAATATTAAAAAAAATGCGTTTGCGTTTTTTTTTCACAATTAAAAATATAAGAAGAATTCGTTAGCGCTTTCCACGTAATACACTTGCATCATTACTGAATTAAATTAATTTTACAGAATTATTTTTGTACAGATAGGATTTACATTAATAATAGTGTAAAATTGAGACGTGATGGCTCAGGGGATAGAGCGTTCACCTCCAATGAGGTGAACCGGGTTCGAATCCCACCAATGGCTGGTCGATACGAATCCGCATCCGACTTGCATCGACCACAGCGCTGATGTGAAATATCCTCAGTGGTAGACGGATCACGGGATAGAGTCTCTTTGCCGTCAGGCTAATCTTGGGAGGTTCTCGTGGTCTTCCTCTTCATGTAACGCACATGCGGGTTAGTTCTATCAAAAAGTCCTCCATGAAGGCAAAATTTCTCCCAATACTTGATTTAGGAGTTCCCTTGTCTTCTGAATTGGGTTCAAAATTACAAGGCTACGGCGTTGAACATTAGAAGTCGTAAACCCAAAAATTGGGTCGGCCGTTAAACGACTCTTATAAAATCCTTTATATAAAATAGTGTAAAATTGAAGTATTGAAATTTGGTACAAATTATAGTTTAATGCCGTTTGAGGTAGTAGTTAAAAATTGTCCCATCTCAGACGGAGTTGTTGGCCAGTCCTGTTTCAGGTGTTGAGTTTTTGGATTACTATAAGGGGGACCGGAAAGTAATGTCGTTAAGGTGCATTTGATTTTTGTTATCATGATTTTATTTTTTAGCAACCTCGTTAGGAACAACCTTTCAATGCCGGATCAAGAAAACATGAATCGGTTTTTAAGACTGACGAATATTTAATGCACCGAAACTACATTACTTTCCGGTTCCCATAAGAAAATTGAGTTTGAAACGCACAGATTTTTCTTTTATAAAAAATGTAACTAAGGTGACAATCGAAGAAAATTATATTTTTCTTTATTCAGTAAAGCATTTCTTTATGAAACATAAATTTCAATTTATTGGGATTGTAAAATTATTATTAATAATCTATGGCATGATAATAACAAAATCCGTTTAGAGTATGCAAGGGAACAACATTAATGTAGTGAGTACCACGCAGAAACATTAAGATTTAAAAGCACATCTGTGTAGGGAATATCGGGCAAGTCAAAATAGGACAATAGCACATACATGGCTGAATTGATAATACTCTCACCAATCCGATTATTATTAATAAGAAGCAAAGATTATTAGCCTTAACCACGTATCAAATAATTCGTATTCCATGCACTGATATTTTCCCTAATCTATCAAATATGAATTTCCCTAATGCCCGCCTGGGGAATGACCTCTCGTCATACAGGCATCTGAAGGGCAGATTTGTTGGCCACTCTTTCTAAACTAAACTAAACTCAGTGGCACGACAGCCCATAGAGGGCCAAAGCCTACTGTGCNCTTTTTATTATTGTTTCTAATGACGCAAGCTAAGCTCTCCAGTCAGTGGCTTTTTTGCGATCAGGAAAGGTGTGCCTTTCGTTTGCCCAAGCATGCTTGGTACTCATTTATCGAACCACTGAAAGGATGAAAGTCTGAGTCAACGTTGCCCGGCCTGAGGATCGAACCCAGCCACTCTTTTAGGGGCACCATATTATGTGAGCCAACGTTGCTCCCACAGTAAGAACAGATAGTACTGAGAATGAAAGAACATCCATGCCTAGCCCGGGATTCGAACCCAGAACCTTTATGATGGAAGGTCAGTTCCCTGACCCCTACACAGGCCGGTCGGCAACAAGAAAAATATATAATTAAAAAAAAATCTATCCCAACTATTCCTAATAAAATAAAGGAGTATTTTAAAAGATACATGTTGCATTTTATTTGGCGCATAAATTGTATTTTAAAATTTATTTTGAAGTCAAACTAGTTCATCGAACTAGCCAAGTCCACTGCCTCAAAAAAGAATACTAAGCATGTTCTTTTAGCTACGCCACCTGAAATGAGACAATTTTCGTCTAATTTCGAAACCAGATTGTTCCATTATTATTATAAATTCTTAATTTAATAAAATTAATTCCATACGAACATTTTTTATGCAAAATATTTTAATTTCTTGTATTACAAAGAATTGTGCATTTATAAAATTATCGAACTATTCCTTGAATATATATTGATAGCTGAAATTTCGTATTATTAGTCAGAATATTTTCTAAGAACAAGAGAGAATACAAATCAATAGCTTAAGGTTGTTGTTCCAACAATATAATGAGGCCATATAATGAAACGACATAATTTTACTGATCCTTAGTATTGTTTCCAAATAGGTACTTTACAAGCGACTATATTTTCATTTAGATAATGTCTTTCATAGAAATTATGGTGATTTCCATCATGATAAAGCCCTAAGAAATAAATTCAAAAGGTGACTTATCATTATTATACAGCTCCAAACCGCTAAATAAGTGATTTTCATGTTTTTTTAAAAATTACAGGCTAAATCTAATCGAGTTTTCAGGTCTAAAAAAAGTAAATCATTAACTGAGGAACATAGTGATAACAAGGTTCATTTTTTTAATGAGTGTGAAAAACACCAACTTTATATTGATCTCAAAATCCACTTTCACGAAAACTACTTAATTAAAACATTTGGTTTATCCATTTAATTTTTTTTTTCAACAAAGGCAGTTACAGCCTGCGTTAAGAGTTAAACTAACAAATTCTTAGAGTAAAACAAACACACATTCTCGTACACGAAGGAGAAAACTTCTCATGGTTAATTTAACAGCAAAGTGATTCTTAAGTATCATACGTTAGCTAATGAGAATGTTTTTTGCCATGTTTACGGCTAGTCTGTGTATGCTAAATAAAGCAGAATATACTGTACTGAGACACGTACGTTAGAATCGATTGCTCTGCCCCCTGGAAATTTTTTTCTCATACTCTACAATTTCTTATAGTGTTTTAGAGGATAATAATTTCAAGATCATTTAATTAATTTTATTTTGTAAATGAGCTTTTTCTATTTTTTCACTTACTCACAAATTTATTTATTAGTTCTGTAACTAGTACGAATAAATGCTTTTGACAAATTTTGAGCATCTCAGGAAATGTGACTTAATTAGGTAAATAAGGATACCTTGATCTGGAGTTGCTCAGTAACCTTTTCTGTTTCATTGCTTTCCCTTTGGCAGGCTAAATTTACTTAACCTTTTGATCTGCTTAAAGTTCGTAATATCGTTTTTTCTTCGAGCTGCATAGCCGATTCCAATTCTCATATTCGTAAACTTTATATTTAACGCAATTCAATAATTAAATTCTGCTTTCTATTATATTTACTAGATTTTTATTTGTTAGATCGTACCTGTGAGAGTGAAATTTTTCAATCAAAATTTCCACACTTCGACTAGCTACTAAACCTACGACTTACTAGATCTCTGTATCAGTCTTTTCCTGATTGCTTCGAGCAGGACTTATCGCACTATTATCTCCAAAATTTCCTAACAAGTATTATGGTCAATCAAAATTTCGACCTTTGTTCGACCAGCTCTATAGGGCTTAAATTTTAACTGGAGAATGTGTGGGAATACAAAATAAAGTTTTACTTGCTTTTAGGTAGCTACAAGCCGAATTTATTACCCTTCACCCAAAAGAATTCATCGCCAATTCACGTTTCGAAAATTTTCTGACTGATTAGAGTGCTAAAA